GTGAGGCACTGGGTTCGACCCTCAGCACCACAAAAATAAATAAATAAATAAATAAAAATTAAAATATTAAAAACTTAAAAATAAATAAATGTATTGTGTCCATCTACAACTAAAAATTTTAAAATTCCATTGTGTATACATATCACATTTTCTTTATCCATTCATCTGTTGATGGGCACCTACGTTGGTTCCATAGCTTAGCTTTTGTGAATTAAGCTGCTATAAAATTGATGTGGCTGTCACTATAGTATGTTGTTTTCACGTCCTTTGGGTATATACTGAGGAGTGGGAAAACTGAGTTAAGTGGTGGGTCCATTTCAAGTTTCCTGAGGAATCTCCATGCTGATTTCCAGAGTGGCTGTACAAATTTGCAGTCCAACCAACAATGTATGAATGTATCCTTTCCCCCCACACCCTCACCAACATTTATTGTTACTTGTGTTCTTGATAATTGCCATTATGACTGGAGTGAGATGAAAAATATATTTTGACTACAGTTCTTTATCAGATGTTTGCCTTGTCTGTGGTTTATTTTTATTATCTTTCAAAGGGCAAATGTTCTTAAAGTTGATGAAGGTTACCATCAATTTTTCTCTTATGGATTAGGCTTTTGGTGATGTAAATACATACACACACATCTATAAACACACACATACATATGTATGTATATAAATGTGTATATGTATGTAAAAACATATATACTGTATAGTGTGTGTGTATGGGTGTGTGTGTTTGATGCTGGAAATCTAACCCAGAGTGTGTTAGGCAAGTGTTCTATCACTGAGCTACACCCCAACCCTTGAAATACTTTTTTTTTAATATTTTTTTTTAGTTGTAGATGGACACAATTCTTTCTTTCTTTCTTTCTTTCTTTCTTTCTTTCTTTCTTTCTTTCTTTCTTTCTTTCTTCCTTTCTTTCTATGTGATGCTGAGGATTGAACACAGTGCATCACACATGCTAGGCAAGCACTCTGCTACTGAACCACACTCCCAGTCCTTGAAATACTTTTAAAATTCATTGTAATACACCATGTTTGCAGGGTTTCCTCCCATGATAATCATCAATTTATTGCTTCTTAGTTGAAATCCATCTTTCTTGTCTGCTCTGAGAAAATAAAAATGGATCCTTCACATACACCTTTTTTTAAAATTTTTTTGTTAGTTGTAGATGGACCCAATATCTTTATTTGTTTTTATGTGGTGCTGAGGATCAAACCCAGGGCCTCACATGTGCTAGGTGAGCATTCTACTGCTGAACCACAACCCCAGCCCCTCACATGCACCTTTCTCAGTTAAGCCTTGTCAACTGATGGCACTGGAGAAACTGCAGAAGGGAAGGAGCCTGCTTCCTGGTCCTTGAGTATCAGCTCAGCACATTCTGCCGCATAGCTAGTTTCTGCAGGAAATGTGGCTCCTGCAGTCTGCATGGCTTCTCTAGTGCCAGTTCCATCAACCAGCAGCTTCCCTCAATGCCCCCTCCCACTCAGGTGGGTTCTAGCAGAGTGTGTCCAGTGAGACACCCCCCTGTGGACAGATTGCTCTGCTCTGTGTTAGGTAGGAATTCATGACACCAAGATGTCTGAGATAAGGTGAAAGGACGCTGCCAGAGGATAAGACATGAAGAGGAGTCCTGTCCCTGTTTATGATAAGTCCCATTACCATGACACTGAGGATTCATCACTATTACAACTACAGGTTAGGTATTTTTAAATGACCATGGGGGTAAATTGGACAGTATCCTAATCAGGTTTTCTAAAGTAACCAATGGGGGAAAATTGGACTATAGTCTAATCAGGTATCCTAAGGCAACCAATGAGGGAAAATGGGATAAGGTCTTCAATCAGGTCCACATAGGAAAGAGAATACCTCATAGCTCAGCATGTAAGATCCTAATTTCCAGATACCAGGCCTTGAGCTTCCCTCTTTTGCTCCTCCCACTTTCACCTTCAATAAATCTGTACTTTGCTGTTATTTTTATGTGCCTTGCTCAGTTCTTTGTTGGGGACGCCAAGGACCGGGGCCCAAATTGGACACTCTGATGATAACACCTGTGCCCTCTTCAGCAAGGTTGGGTATCAGCCCAGGAGTGGAAGGGCTCTCCTTCTTGGAAGCTATATCTTAGCCACAGGTAGTGGTTATTATATTATATATCAATTATTATTATTATTATTATTTTCTTTAAAATTCTTTTCTTCTTATTAGCCCAAACAGTTGACAAGTCATGATCCATGAGGCAAATCCAGCCCACTGCTTGTTTATATATATATATATATATATATATATATATATATATATATATGGCTTTATTGGAACACAGCCACGTTCATTTGTTTATGTATTATCTATGACTGCTTTCATACTTCAACTATTACCAAGAGTTCAATCCTTGTCCCTGATACCAAACCAATAACAAGGATGAGAAAAAGAAAAAAAAAAAGTTTTATTGTTTGCTAGCAAAGGAGAAACAGAGGACTCCAGCCCCAGAGGCTGTGATTCTGCCCTTCAGGGAAAAGGGTTTTTTAAAAAAAGTGATTCAAAGGCTACATTCCACGTGTTCTGTCTGAAATTATAACTCACTTGTTAATTTGGGAGACAGTCATTTCTGAGATCTTCTGGTGCTATCCTCAGAGTGTGAATTACTTCCTTTCTGTGGTGGGTGTATGCTCAAGGAGAAATAACTCTGCCTAGGATGGGAAAGAAAGGTAATTCTGTTTCCCCTGAGATCAGGGAGGGGGAGAGATTAGGGAGGCCCTGGGAGAAAGGAAGAGAAGAAACATGTCCATTTTAAAAACAAGTCGCAGTGGCAGAGCAGCAGGGCTGTATTCAAAGCATAAGGTGAAGCTCTGTTACTATTTTAATTTATTTGGCACCAGGGATTGAATCCAGGGGCAGTTAACCACTGAGACATTTCCCTAGCTCTTTCTATTTTTTATCTTGAGACAAGGTCTTGCTAAATTGCTTAAGGCCTCATTAGGTTGCTGAGCTGGCTTTGAATTTGCAATCCAGACTCAGTCTCCTGAATTGCTGGGATTACAGGCATGCACCACTCAGGCTGGTTTAACCAATTGTTTAACCAATCCTCAGCAATTTATCGAGGCCCTAAGCAATTTTAATCTGGATTCTATGAATGATTCCACTATGTTGATAAACCACCTGAAATTATATGCAAACTTTGTGTGGATATGCGAATGTGCATATGTATGGGGAGAAAGTTTCCAGCTTCATCTTTTGGTAATAAATTTCAATAGTTAAGGGCATAGGCCCTGGATACAAACTGCCCTGAATCCCAGCTCTGCTAATCCCACTATCACCTAAACTAATTAACCTCACCATGCCTTGCCTGTAAAATGGAGGATGTTGTAGTACCTACCTCATTATTATGGGAATTTAGAGAGTTAACATATATAAAGCATTTGGAGATGACTTGGCATATGATAAATGGTATATAAGCATTGGCTAATATTGCCATTTCTGGCTTTCCCCTTGCCTGTAAGGCCCCCAGCTAGACCAATGTTTTCCTTTTTTTTTAATATTTATTTTTTAGTTGCAGTTGGACACAATATTTTTATTCTTTTTTTTTTTTTTTAATGTGGCACTGAGGATCGAACCCAGGGCCTCGCATGTGGTAGGCGAGCACTCTACTGCCTAGCCACAACCCCAGTCCCCAATGTTTTCTGATGCTCTAGTGCACCCTGCTCTCCAGGACTCATCCCTCAGGCTCTTTCTCTGCTCAGAGCAAGCTTGCCAAAGTGTGGCTTGCCCACTAACTCTTGACCTTGCCTCTAGCCTCAGCTCAAATATTTTGTCCAAGTAGCCCTTGCTGATCTCTAGACTATGAGAGTCCTCCGTCCTCTCAACTCTCAGCCCAATTATTCCCCATTAAAAAAAAAAAAAAAACAAAAAACCTGCACTAAATTATACTGAGATCTCTTTAAGGTTTTCCCTTACAGTTTCTAAGCTCTGAAAAGGACAAAAGTCATGTCTGCCTGACTCCCTGTGGACTTCAGTGCAGTGCCTAATATACTGTAGGAATATCATAAATATCTGTCAAATGAATTAGTGAATGAATAAAAACAAAACAAAAAAATGTAGCCGGCTGGGTGGCACGCACCTGTAATGCCAGCTGCTCGGGAGACTGAGGCCAGAGGATCAAGAGATCAAAGCCATCCTCAGCAATTTAACGAGGCCCTGTCTCAAAATAAAAAAACAAAAAGGCTTGGGGATGTAGTTCAGTGTTAAAGCGCGCCACAAAGAAAGAAATAATTAAGCAGGGAGCTTGCCTGTTCCCAGAGAAGATATGCATACCTTTAATTTAAGACATGATTAAATACTTTCATAAACTGGTAAAATCAACTGTGTCAATCTGAAAAATTTACTGCTATCTTGGGAGATAATACATAAGTGACACGTTATCAGGAAAACTACATTTTATTATTAATACTCGAACACTAGGAAAATTATAATAGTTACCATCATAATTCAAAATAGACAATAAAGAGATTCTCTAGGAAATGTCTTAAAGGACCAATAGTTGCTTTCCCTCTACTGGAATAAGGAATCCCTGCAAGGGTTCGCACTGCACCCACCTCACCAACTGTCAAACTCCAACGGTTCCTCTCCTGTGTAAAGGGCCTTAAAATACCTGTGGGACACCAGTGCCTGTTCTCCAGCCAAAACAATGAGGTAACTGCCAACCACGATGTGGGGTGGAGGCGGGGACTGGACTTGGGCTCCGGGAGATATAGAACTGGGGAAATTTCACAAGAATTGCTGGTGGTCAGAGGGCTTTAGGAGAACTGGTTGGAATGTCTCAGAGTCCCTAGACAGTTGCAGATCTGTCATGCATCTGGCAGATTTCTGAGGCTGGAAGCAGCTTCCTTAGACAGCCCTTCAGCTCACAAGCCTTGGACTACATTTCCCAGCGGGCTTGCTTTGGGGATGGTTGTGATTGTAATAGGGCGTGTCTAGGAAGAGAAGCCATAGTACTTCAGCAGCCCTGGGGCATCTTGCTCCGCTGCAGCTGCGCCGGCAGAGATGGTTGTACTCCTGTTCCTGCTCTTCCTTCTCCCCTTTCTCCTGTACGTGACTGCGCCCCAAATCAGGTTTGTGCAATTATGTATTGCCTTCTCTTGCAAAGTCTTCACGAGGGGACCTGAATTCTCACTGAAGCTCTTTTCTTCAAAAAGAAGGACTAAGGAAAACTCCCCGTGGTGGTGGTGGTGGTGGTGGTGATGGTGCTGGGGTCCCCAAGATGGCCTAGAGCCGGAGTTCAGTGGGTTGCAGGCCAGGTCCAGGTGTCTTGGATGTTGGTAGGGTAAGATCCGACACCACAGGCGGTCGTGAACCATTCTGAGCATCCTGCTTTGCTTCTCCGATCCCCCCTATTCGTCTGGCACCCCCCTGCCTCCGCCTTCAGGGATCCCTGAGCGCAAGGCTGCTTGGCGGATTTCAAACCCTAGAACGGAATGTGGCCCCCAGCTCTGTTTCCTCCTTTAACTCCCACGCCTTGCCCCAGCGCTATCTATCTTCTTGCTTCCAGCCTTTGAGGAACAAAGAACGATTGCACCTTTTGCTTTATGGCCCCGTTGCATGCTCTCTCGTTACTATTAGATTCGTGCTTTCTTGAGGGGCTGTAAAGGAGAGAAATGGAAAGAGTGATTATGCACCCTACCCTGCCTTCGAAGCAAGAGCATGGGGGACGGTTAGGGGTGTTGAGGGGGAGGACAAGAAAAGTGCGGGGGACGGTCTTTTGACCAGGTGACAGATCAGCCTGAGGCTGGCGCGGTTCCCCAGAGAATCAGCAGCGGGCTGCACAATCGCTGATTGGTTCTGAGTTGAGTCACCCGTAGTGACGATGGTCCAGTGACTGAAGAGACACACTCCTTCCCCAGGAGGCGTGATCATAGTTGCAGTAGAAACGGAAGCTGTGCCAGATTCTACTCAGTCATTTCTTACCATATAAGATTGAACTATCAAGGATCACCTGCCTGCCTCCCTGCCTCCCTTTCTTGACTTTGACTTTTCCTCATTGATGACCCTCTTCCGGTTGTATTTTTTTTTCTCAATCCTAAGCATTCACTGCTCCTATCTCTAAGCACACACGTGGGTTATCATACTCAAATGAAAACATGATTTTTTTTTTGTCTTTGCCAAATCTTCTTATGCACATAGAATCTCAATGAAAACTTGAACCATAACTGGGAAATAGTTCCTAATGATATTTTTCACTGGGAATATCTTTCTTAGAAAAATATCTAAGTGAAGTGATATTTTTCTTATAAAGAATATTCTTCAGGCTTTATCTCCAGCCTAGCTAGGTCATGGGAGCCAGGCCAGAGCTGGAATTTTATAGTTGATTTTCTTTTTCATTTCTGCTATTTAAGGAGAGGAAGGAGCTAAGTGCAGCCCCCAACATTTGTCATTATTGGAGCTCAAGCAGAAAGAGTGTGGGAAACAGAGCTGGGGACATGTTCTTTAAGCAGTAGGATATCAGCTGGTGGGCACCATGAATTAGTTCACCTCCTTTTCAGCCTGTTTGCACTAAGCAGGTAGCTTTGGTGGCTAGGAGTAATTTGCAGTTCCAAGTTCAATGAAAAAAAGCTGAAATGCTCTTTAAAAATGCACCTCCTCATCATCTGATTATTTTAGTCCCAAGATTGTAAAGGAGAGAAAAGAAGAATCTAAGGACTGCCAAAATGAATTTGTGCATTTGTTCATTTGAAAAGGCAGTATAGTGTAGTACTTAGGAGCAAGGACTGTAATTAGACAAACCAAGACTTGAAACCCCACTCTCCTTTGTACTTATTTAACACTGTGTGTGTATGTGTGTGTGTGTGTGCACGTTCATAGGATTTGAATCCATGATTTCACTCGTGCTAAGTACATATCACTGAGCTACATCCCCGACCCCTGTCTTATTTTCATATGTGTAAATGTATGTGATTGTGGCCTTTTTCTTGATTTGTTCTAGATTTCTAAGCTTTCATAATTTTAACTCTTCCAATTGATTAATCATTTCTTAAGACTAAATATGTCAGTTGTGGGCAGAGTGACATGCAGAGACAAGTTCTTTCCTCTTCTTGACTGGGTCTTGTGATTTTCTAAGCCAAAAGTACTTCCTGGGGAGCTCAAACTGTAGTCAGGTGCTTGGCTAATCAAACCTTCATCTAGTTCTTGTGCTGCAGGGAACAGCTTTTTCCCTTGTGCAAGGACAGATTGTTTTCTTTCCACCAATTTTTCTTAAACTTGTAAAAGGACATTAGTGGAAGAACCTAAAGCAAACCTCAGCCTTGGGATTTGAAGACATTGGGAGTTGAGGAATCCTCTGCAGGGATGAGATAATGAAGGACTGATAAACTCTCCTCCTTTGTCTACAGGAAAATGCTGTCTAGTGGAGTGTGCACATCTACTGTCCAGCTTCCTGGGAAGGTAGCTATAGTCACTGGAGCCAATACAGGCATTGGAAAGGAGACAGCTAAAGAGCTGGCTCAAAGAGGCAAGTTCATCTGCTCTTCATTCCCTACTGCTACTGTAGTTTTCTCTCTCACAGTGGGTCATTTTCCTTATTTCTTCATGGTCCTAGAATTCAAGAATACTCTAAGCACCTACTGATTTGCTCATCTGAACCTAGTGTGATATTCTACTTGTAATGGGCATTTAATAGATATTATCTGTTTTTCTTTCTTGAATTGATTTGAATACCTCTGTTGTGAATTAGGGATAAAAATTTTAATCTAAAAACAGGAGAGCGGGGCTGGGGATGTGGCTCAAGCGGTAGCCGGCTCGCCTGGCATGCGTGCGGCCCAGGTTCGGTCCTCAGCACCACATACAAAGATGTTGTGTCCGCTGAAAACTAAAAAATAAATATTAAAAGATTCTCTCTCTCTCTCTTTAAAAAAAAAAAAAGGAGAGAACAACATTAATAACACAACATTAATGTCAGTATTAATCTATAACACCCAATCAAAAAACAACTGACAGTTTTTTTCATATGTCGTTTGATAGGAGCCCGTGTGTATTTAGCTTGCCGGGATATGCAAAAGGGGGAATTGGTGGCCAGAGAGATCCAAGACATGACAGGGAACCAGGAGGTGTTGGCACGGAAACTGGACCTGTCTGATACAAAGTCTATTCGAGCCTTTGCTAAGGACTTCTTAGCACGTAAGTGTGGAACCAGAAACTATGTTGTGGGTCTTACGATCAACATAGCAGACTTAGCTAAAAGGGAAAGATCCCTTTTCCTCTAATACATAGAAATAGTGGATAAAATATAGCCCCAAACTTTCCATACATAACTGAAATCATGTGATCATTGGGATGTGATTTATGTCTGGGGAACATCCTAGGAGGCAGAAACAAAAAGGCAACCATAACAGCGAGCATGAGCCAAGGCCAGAATCTTATGGGAGTATCAATACTTGGTTGGGGCTTTTTAAGGTCTAGGGTTTAAACACTCTAACAGGGACAGGAGATGAGACCTCAGGTTTTTGAGGGGTGGAACACCATAGATAAGGTTGAGATTCACAAAGGGCCATATGGTCCATGGTAAAGGAGTTAGAAAAACTATAACACCTTGACTACCAGCTCAGGGACATGACGAAGAGCCTTTTCATCTCTTCAGGATATGGATGAATAGTCATCTGCAAGAAACTAAAACCCCAAACTTGTCTTGTCTGTGGGATCTGAGTCATACCACCAAATGGTGTAGGATCTTTATTTTTTAATTACAAGAAATGTTTTTTGGTGCCAGACTCTCGAGCTGAGACATTAACATAAAAACCTATAATAGGTGCCAGGTATGGTATTACACACCTATAATCTCAGCTACTCTGGAGACTGAAGCAGGAAGATCACAAGTTTGAAGCCAGCCTGCACAATTTAGAGAGAACCTGTCTGAAAATAAAAATTTTAAAAGGGCTTGGGATGTGGCTCAGTGGTAGAGCATTGCCTAGCATGTATGAGGCCCTAGGTTCAATTCCCAGTATTGAAAACAAACAAACAGGGCTGGGGATGTGGCTCAAGC